TCCGAATCCTCCGGACTTTCATCGTCGTCGTCGTCGTCATCGTCCTCATCGCCCAGAGTGAAGGGATACGGGCCGGAGGACGACGTACGTTTCGATGACGGTCGGATAGGAGGTCTTGAACCGTCGGACCAGTCGGATTCCTCATCCTCGTCGTCCTCCGAGCTGCCAAGTCCACACCCAGGGGGAATGACACGTTTGGCCTTCCCCTTCCCGGGTCCAGTACGGGCCGGCGGAGGGCTGATGGAAGTGGGCTGGGGAACGGCGGACGTCGTCACCGAAGGACCAGCGGTGGATCCCGTCTTGGCAGTGGATCCGGCCTTGGATCCCACTCCCGCTTTGGACGTAGCAACGGATCCAGGCTTGGACGCCGTAGACCCAGTCTGGGGTCCAGATCCAGACTTGGACGCCGTAGACCCAGTCTGGGGTCCAGAACCAGACTTGGACGTAGTGGCGGATCCAGTCTTGGACACCGGGGTAGATGTGGATCTAGCGGCGGATCCAAACTTGGATCCTGCTCCCGACTTCGAAGGGGAAGCGGAAGTCTTGGACGCGGATGTGGATCCCGCCTTGGACGCAGAGGTGGATCTCGCTTGCGTAGACGTTTTAGAGACCGGAGTCGTTTTGGGTTTGGCTTTCGGGGAAGCTCGAGCTTGCTTACGGGGACGGGGGGATCCGGTGCTAGGAGCGGGAGACGCACTACGCAGACGTTTCGCAACTGATGGATCTGCCCCACTTACAGACGGGAGAGGAGCAGAGACGCTGGCAGTACGAGAAGGTCCCGACAAGGGAGGAAGGGGATCCGAAACGGCAGCTGTCACCAGTGCTAGTCGTCGACGAGCCAAATCCCGCTCCGATAAGCCACGATCGCGCTCCAGGACCAGCTGTTGCTGCTGAGTTTGGGCTGCAGCGAGTTGATCCCGGAGTTTCGCGGCGGTCGCATCGGCTTCTTTCAATTTGTCGCCTGGATGGACAATAACGAGTGGATATGGGGCTACTAGCAAGGACTAAAAGAGGATCCACGTACTCGTGCGGCGAAGCTTGGATTCCAGCTCTGTTTGTGCACGCTTGGCAGCCGCCCACTCGGTAGCCGCCTTGTCCCGCTGGAGTTCGCTGTCCGCCAGTTTCGCTTGGATCTCGTCGCGTAATTGAGTTATACGCACGAACTCCTCGAGCGCGTACTCTCGTCCGGCAGACGCTTTCTCGAGCGACTCCTTGGTATCCTGCAACTCCTCAGTAAGCTGAGCCAGAGCTACATCCGGCGACGAGGGAGGTGGATTTGGCGCGGGAGATCCTCCACGCGCCGACCCTAAGGTGGATCCGCCATGGTTGGATCCCACATAGTCGTTGGTCACCACCTCCTCTTGGGTCAGGCGCAACTCGTCACGGAGTCGATCCAAGCTCTCGTCTGCGGCTGCACTAGCAGTCTGGGAATCCTTCAGATCCCGCTCGAGGTCATGGATCCGGGATTGCAGCTGGTGGATCTCAGATCCGGCGAGCGCCATCTCCCAAAGGAGGTGGTCGTTGTCATCCCGCATGACATCTCGCTGACGGGAGGGGCGATCCCAGCCGTCCGGTCAGGTCGCGGATCTCGACCGCCTGATCAGCCAACAAGAGTCGCAGGTCCCTGCGACCGAAAGGCCGCACGGTGCTCCCACCCCCTGGGATCTCCATAGCCCTGGTCATGGATTTGGGCTCGCAAGGTCTGAAGCTGGGTAGTGTGCAGAGACGCAGCTTGGTCTTGGGCATCTTGAGCCGTCTGGAGCTCCGCCGTCAGGGTTTGCACCTGATCGGAAAGAGCCTGGGCTAGAGCCCGCAGATCGGTGGGCGACATGGAAGACGGACTGACCGGAGGTGTGGTGGATGGGGCCTTGCCCGACGATTTGCCGGTACGCTTGGCGGGAGACATGTGTCGCGAAGGGGAGAAAGCGGTAGTGGATGCTGGTAATGCACGCCGTGAACGCTGTTGTGCAGCGCCGACAACGTACAGGAGGCGATTGTGGTGAAGTGCTTTCTCAGAAATAAGAGAATGGGCCTGACGCGGGGTCACTATCCCGAATCAGTAACAATTTCAAGTGATTAGAGAGGATTTGGGTTGGTGGCACGGATGCAAGTTGCCTGTGGTGGATTAGCCATGACGAGCGGCACCCCGTATGGAATGACGATGGATCTTGTATGAGCGATGTACAGGAAGACAAGATCCACCAAGACTTATCTCGGATCCACCCTTACCTGGATTCACTTAGGTGGATATGGGATACACTATGTACTAGTGGATCGAGTGGGGATCCTATGAAGGAATGGTGGTAGGTGTCACCTGAAGGTGGATCTAATAGCCACGGCTAACGAGGAGTCAAGATCCACCGCGAGGTACCCCGGATCCCATACCTCCGAGTTCGGATCCATGGAGGAAGGATCCCGCCTTGAGGGACCTGGATCCAGGGTAAAAGGATGATGGATGCAGTGGATCTCGAACTTTCGTGGGACCAAGGAGATCACAGAAGGTTGCAAGATGATGTTGGATGATTGGAGAGCTCGGATCCACGGCGAGTGTATTATTACAGCGAGGTGGATCCAAGCGACCTAGATCCGGATGAGTGTACCCATAACAGGGTGACCATGATGATTACGTCATATATCCGGTGGATCTGAAGATAACACAGCTGGGATGATGGGTCAAGGGAAGAAGGGACATGCAGCCGAGCCTGGTAAGGGATTTAGCAGATGACAGACATAGAAGGTAGAAATCCAGGCAGGTATAGGCTTAAATATCAATACAGACCTCAATTTGCACAGTATCACGCAAGGGCCTTCCTGCCCTCAAGAACCGGAATGACATTGGCCGTACGAGCTCGGAGAAGGTTGGGAATTGCGAATCTAGTGTTGGTAGTGATAACTGGATAATACATTGGCCAGATCCTACAACCTAGTGAGCTCTTCCTTTACTTGTGCAGATCCGACAGGTTAACCGAATTTACTACTTGGTCGGTTACACCCTAGAGGCTCTCAACTTTCAAGATCCCGTCACAGGAGGCGGCAAGTACGACGCAAAGGAACTACAAAGGCAAGGGAACACACCCGTAAGGCAACCCTACAACCAGATCCACGATCTAGGCCCCGGATCCATAAGCTCGAATATTCGCTTAGGATTCGGAACAATCCACGGACGCAGAGTGAAGATTTTCCACTGCTGCTTCACCCCATCCCCACGTCTCGCCAAGACACTCAAGCTTCACCACTTGAACGCTTCGGAAGTTACCGAGAGAGCAAGATTCCGCCCTACCGACGGGTACACAAGGTGAGGAAAGTTCAGCAGAACACGGATCATCGGGGGACCCCCTCCGTTAGTCGGTGTCTGGGCGCAGTTGGTAAGTTGGATCTGGCAATCTCGCAGATTTTGCTGATCCCGCTACACCACATCACCGCCGCATTGTTCAGCTTCTGAGCAAGCTGGGTGACCTTGACAGCGTATGCGTAAAATTGCAGAGCGAGGAGCTAACGCTTGCTGACGTCCGGCTCCTTTTCGACGCTGTGGTGGTGAAGTACCCGGTAACGGCAAGTTACCTCAAGGCTGATGCCAGTATCGTGCACTCTCCTGTCTTTGAGCGGGCTTTCTGGTCGTCCAACCTTCTTCAGCCCGGCCGACCAAGCAGGTGGACTTCGCTACAGCCACACTCCGACAAGCCAAGAAGCCTCGCCACGCGTCAGCACAGAAGTACGACGAGTTGTCGAGCCAACTGCCGCCGACTAGCAACCGATGTGAGCGCCTCTTTTCACAGTGCAAGCTAATTCTCACCCCACGGCGGTCAAGTCTGCTGCCAGCGAACTTTGAGATGCTCGTGTTTCTACGAGCGAATCGCGACCTTTAAAGCTTCACCTCGCTTGTTGGCATTGATGATATTTAGAAAGTAGTTTGCGGATGAGAAACTTGAGGGCTACAACGCTGCCGAAAAAAAAGGTTTAGACTTCTTTTTTTGTGTTCTTCCAAATTTAATTTTATGTTTTTTTTATCAGAACCCAACAAAACTGCTGCTCAGGCTGGCTCGTATCTTGCCGTCGCCGGCTATATTTGGTTGGCTAAAATAACCCAGCTAAGATGATAGTCACCAGCCTTCCCTGCAGCAGTGGGCTTCGAACCCAAGCCAGTGGCGTGATAACCACTGCCCCGTCCTGACCCTTGCAATACAGCAAAATAATTGAATAATTTATTATTGGGGATCGGTATATTGCAATGATTATTGCCCAGTACAATTTTTTATTTGATTGTAAGAGCACTGAATGATGCAAGCCAAGGCGCTTACTTTTGGCCCTTTTTTGTCCTATGATGTCAACTAAGCTTTTTTATTGTCATAACGTGACTTTTCGATGCGAGCTTCTTTTAGCGGCAGCGACGTCCTAATAGGAAGTCGCTGCCGCCTAATAGGAAGTCGCTGCCGCCAAAAGAAGCTCGCATCGTAAAAGAAAGTTCCTAAAACAAGCTCAGATATCATCATGACGTTTGACTTATAAAATACACGGCATTCTCGAACAGTCCGTTGGGGGTGCTCAAGTGTTTTACTGCGCTTACCGCTAACCCACAGCTGAAACATCATGCAGCACGATTTTCCGGACGAGATCGTACACACACACGTATTATTACATTGTAATTGCATTGTAATAATACGTGCTGGTGAGACGGAATGGACCTCTAAAGCCAGGTGTCCCGCCATATTCAGTGCACCTGGCGTCATCAGAAAACCACACAAACCTACATGTATTAAAATAATTACCCAGTTTCAGCTCACACTTCGAGAAGCAACATGCACTGTACCACGCTGCTATAGTACATGTAATGCAGTGCGCCATCGCAAGATGCCGTCGAGTCGCGACTGGCAAGATGCCGTGTGACTCCATCGTCCTCTTTATTTTTCTTGCCAATCACAGCCTCTAACACAAATATCCACCAATAGGGTGTCTTAAAACACGTACTTAGTCGGGTTTGAGTCGTTACCATTTTTCATGACATGAACATTGTTCATTTCCCTTCTCTACCAAGCGCCAGTCGAGAACTGACTGCCATGGACACTCCGATGCATGCGATTAACGAGTCCAGCCTCTTGCTGGGCAATGCCACGGGCGACGCACAGGTGCTGGGGCTGCCTCTTAACTGGGTGGAGACCCACCGCGCGTCGAGTCTGCTCATCGCCTTTGGCTGCTGCGTGCTGGCGACTCTTCTGAGTGTCTACAACATTGTGCAGCACTTGGCGCACTATTCACGGCCGCAACTACAGCGTTATATTGTGCGCATTTTGGTAATCGTACCAGTCTACGCGATGGGCTCGCTGCTGTCGCTTATGTTCGTAAACCAGGCGCTGTACTTCGACTCGATCCGTGACTGCTACGAGGCCTTCGTGGTCTACTCGTTCCTGGCTCTTGTGCTGAGCTTCGCAGGCGGAGAATCCGTCTGTGTGCTGAAGATGCAAAGCGAGCCGGATATCCGCCACCCGTGGCCTATTAACCGCTGCTTTGATCCGCTCGGACGCGATGGAAGACTGCTGAGACTGTGCAAGCGCGCCACGATCCAGTTCGTCTTCATCAAGCCCATCTTTGCAGCGTTGTCTCTACTCATGTTGGCCTGTGGCAAGTACCACACACTGGCCTACCAGTTGATTCTCGCAGTGGTCTACAATATCTCTTATTCTCTGGCCCTATATGGCTTGTACATCTTCTACCTCGCCACGAGACACATCCTGCAGCCATTTAACCCCGTGCTCAAGTTCTTCGCCGTAAAGAGCGTCGTGTTCCTCACCTTCTGGCAGAATAGTCTACTGGATTTTATCCCAGGCATCACCAACGAGCAGACTTTTGCCTGGAAGGACTTTATCCTCTGTGTCGAGATGGTTCTGTTCGCCTTCGTTCACCTGCTGGCCTTCAACTCGAGCCAATTCAAGAAAAATCTCGACCGACTACCGGATTCCGAGGTGCTGAATAATATGAAGGAGGTGCTAAGTCTCTCGGATATTCTAGCAGACGCCTACCACAACTTTATGCCGTCATACAAAGATTACATGCTGCAACGCGGAGGTGAGTCCACTGGACGTGCTCGTAAAGGCCCCAACGCGACAGGTTTTGGCGACACTTCGTCGTCTGAAGGAAGTCCGACGCCCATGGCACACAACAACGCGCGTGTCCCGCGTTTCGTCATTGACGACGAGGACGACGACGAGATGGAGGAGATCGATCTCGAGGCCAGCGCCAGCACCGTAACAGCCACTTCAGCTGCATCTGCGAAGGATAAGCTACCGGAGCTCAGATTACCAGAAAGGGAGGAGGTCGACAGTAGCGAAACTGGTGCCGACGTCGTAATGGCCAACCCGCAGGATGACGATCAAGTCAAAGCTGCTGCTGGCATTAAAGATGCTGCTCTCGAGGAAGGTGTCAGTGGTGACCAGCAGCCAGCAGCAGACGATGCCGAGCCGGTAGATCGGCCGACTCGGCAGCGATCCAATAGCTCCCCCACATTTGCCAGTGCTCATGAACGCACGCGGTATAGCGAGGAGAGTGCAACTCTATAGAAAACTTTCAACTAGCTAACTTAGTAGTATCGTATGATTTGTGTCGAACTGCAGTGTATGCAGGGCAATTGCCTCCGCACGGCTGCCGAAAAATACCAAATTCCACATCGAAGCGACTAGCGAATCGCTTAGCGTTTCCAGTAATACATGTACATGTAGCAGATACAGTGGACATGTACATGTGCTTAAGCAAACGAGGGTTTACTTCAACAACTGCAAGTTGCAGAAATTCCAACACCCCTGAATGATCCCACTGGAACTAGGAGGTCCGGAGGACCAATCACATTGACAGACTAGAATTTGATAAGCCAATCAGATGGCGTTTCTCGAAACTTATCTTGATCCTTGACATCGCCGACGTAAGCTGGCCGTTTTTCTGCGTGCGTCATCTGTACGATAGGACGGACATTTACCGGCGGTCTGGGCGTTGCTGGCATTGCGCTTCTCTCACTCTCGCTTTTGCCACTTTACCCGTATTCAACCCTGTTAAAGACTCTTCCACTATGGGCACCGACATCCAGAAGATCCACGTCGCCAACCCCGTCGTCGAGCTTGACGGCGACGAGATGACGCGCATCATTTGGAAGGACATTCGCGAGAAGCTCATCCTGCCGTTCGTTGACCTTCAGATCGAGTACTTCGACCTGGGGATCGAGCACCGCGACGCCACCAACGACGAGGTGACGCTTGAAGCCGCGCGAGCCATTAAGAGGCACAACGTCGGCATCAAGTGCGCCACCATCACGCCCGACGAGGCGCGCGTCGAGGAGTTCGGGCTTAAGAAGATGTGGCTCAGCCCTAACGGCACACTGCGCAACGAACTGGGCGGCACGGTCTTCCGCGAGCCCATTGTGTGCAAGAACATTCCCAAGCTCGTGCCTGGCTGGAAAGAGCCCATCATTATCGGCCGCCACGCTTTCGGTGACCAGTACAAGGCCATCGACTTCGTGGCAAATGAGCCTGGCACGTTCAAGCTCACGTTCACGCCTGCTCGAAGTGGCGCCGAGCCCCAGGAGTACCACGTGTACGACTTTAAAGGCTCCGACGGCGGCGTTGGCATGGGCATGTACAACACGGCCGAGTCCATCACGGGCTTTGCCAAGTCTTGCTTCGAGTACGCCCTGGAGCGCAAAATGCCGTTGTACATGAGCACCAAGAACACGATCCTCAAGCGCTATGATGGCCGCTTTAAAGACATTTTCCAAAACATGTATGAGAAGTCGTTCGAGACGCAGTTCAAGGCTGCTGGGATCTGGTATGAGCACCGCCTAATTGACGATATGGTGGCGCAGTGCCTCAAGTCTAAGGGAGGATTCGTTTGGGCTTGCAAGAACTACGATGGTGACGTGCAGTCCGACATCTTGGCGCAGGGATTTGGCTCCCTGGGTCTCATGACTAGCGTGCTGCTCACGCCCGACGGCAAAACCTTGGAGGCTGAGGCGGCGCACGGCACAGTCACGCGTCACTACCGCGTTCACCAGAAAGGTGGCGAGACGAGCACTAACTCGATCGCCAGCATCTTCGCGTGGACGCGGGGGCTGCTTCATCGCGCCAAACTGGACAACAACAAGCAGCTCAAGCTCTTTTGCGAGGAACTAGAGGCCTGCATCATCGAGAGCGTGGAAGCGGGCCAGATGACGAAGGACCTGGCGTTGCTCATCCACGGCTCCGACATGAAGCGCGAGCACTTCCTCGACACGTTCCAATTTATCGACACGATCGCTGACAACCTGCGTGGACGTCTTGCCGCCAGCCCCAGCTTTCAAATGTAAGGTTAACTCTTCTTTTTACTTCAAAGTGAACCAAATAAAATGAATTGACTGTGAATAGCCACTTCAACTTACATCAATAGTGAAACGCAATGCTCCCCATCAAACATGGCTACACTACGCGCATTTGTCATCACTTGTCACTAATACGAGGAGCCATTCTTTCGAGGGGTACCAGTCTCTCCTGATCCATTCTGGAAGGAAGAATGAGTGCGCGACGCTCGCTGAGTGACGCCAGTGCGAGCGACAGCGGCCGCGATGACGACGAGTTCCTAGACGCGGCTTTCGACGAGTTCGAGGAGCAGGATGCGCGCGGTTTCTTCGAGTCCCCCGCCTCCTCTACGTCTTCTCCGCCGCGTCGAGATTCTAGCAGTCGGAGATCCAACGCCGCACGCATGTTGGAGGCGCTAGAGGCGATTTCCCACGAAACAGAGGGCGAAGGTGTCCCTCAGTCGCTTCGGGGTCTTTTAGAGCAACTACACAGCGGTGATGGCTCGGTATTGGGCGGTATGTTCCCATTCTCTCAACTTCTCCAAGGTTCAGGCGGTAACCCACGCTTCCAGCGACTATTGGAGCAGATCGGAGCAGATCAATCCGTCCACACACAGATGGCGGCACTCTCAGAGCTCTGCGAGACGCTGGCGCTGTCTACGGAAGAAGCGCTGGCAGTCTCTGGCTTCAACGTGGACAAGTTCGTCCCGGCCGTCGTGGCTCTCCTACGGGCTCCTACATCCATGGAGCTGCTGCTACTGGCAGCCAGAGCACTCTCGACCATCTTGGAGCTGTACCCAAGCGCAGCCATCCCCAAAGCTACTGCTGAACAGGCGATCCCTTCACTCTGTGAGAAGTTGCTGGAGATCGAATACATGGACGTGGCTGAGCTGGCTCTGCAGATTCTAGAGAAGATCGTGTGTAAGAGCGAACAGGCGCTCAGCTCCGCAGCCACAGTGCCCAATGCAGCGCAACTGTGTGCACAATACCGAACCCAAGTGATTGAGGAGAACGGGATCGTCGCGCTGCTACAGTTCGTGGACTTTTTCCCGCTGGAAATCCAGCGCCGCGCTGCTCGAATTGTTTGTCAGCTGTGTACAGAGTTCCCTTTATCCCTGGAAGGCCAGCTGCGTCAAGGCCTGCCGTTTATCACCAACTTGTTGCGCTCATTCGACCACGAGATCCTGCAGAGCAGCTTCACGTGTCTACAGAAGCTCGGAGAGAGCACCGCATTCTCGGACAACTCAGAGTTCGCGTCTATTGTCGCTTCAGAGGAGATCTGCGGACTGCTACTGACCAAACTCACGTCCTACGCCAGTCTGGAAGGCGCGTCGTCGCACGTATCGCCCACAGGAATCCTGCGCTTCTTGTCCTGTTTGCTGTCGTGTATTCCATGTGATCTGAGTGGCGTTACAGTCGTCCCCAGTGCGTCACACTTGCGTTTTGTAAAGCTGCCGCCTATTGCGACGGCGTTGCTGGCCAAACCAGAGGTGATTTCAGAGAACCAGCTCCTTCGCGAGACTTTGAAGCTGGTGGTTGCTGTTCTCCCCATCGCAGAGGAACTCTCGTCGACGGAGACCATCCCACGCCCCATGATCGCGCTAGCACACGAGATTTTGCCATTGATCATTCGTGTGTACGACGTCACTTCGCGCGCTGATGTGCGGTACGACTGTCTCGGAGTGATTTACCGTAGCTGCTCGTTGATGCTTGCGAGGCAGCAGCTGTTCGGAGCCCAAGAACGGAGCGAGTTGTCTCGACTCGCTGCGTTCCTTGCTCGAGTGTTGCGTTCTAAGCGCAGCGACAAGAGTGACGTCGATCTGACCCCAGTGGAGATTGCGTTGAGGGTCATTGAGGTTCCTCTGCTGCATTCCGGCGCGCGAGATGCAGCCAAGGACATTTTTGAGCGACACGGCGTCGCTAGCATCATTCGGTTCTACGCTTCCAGACCCAATGAAGACACAGGCGAAGGCGATATGCAGGAGATCCAGACGACATGCGCTCGAGTTGTACGTGAGTATCTGGGCAACGAAAGCGCGGCTGTGAGCGTTATGGCGCAGTTGCAGCAACTCGTGGACGAACTGCAAGCAGCTCAGGCGTCCAGTTCAGCCCATACGTCCTCACTGCTGCAAGTTCTACTGAAGCTCCGTGGGTTTGTGGCTCAGGGGGAGGATTTCTTGACTGCGCACGAGATTGCGTGCAGTGGACTCGTGAAGGTTCTCGTCCAGATTCTGTCAGATCCCAGAGGTCAGCAAGCGTTTTCTCAGATGCTGGAAGTGGCAGACGCCGGCAGCGATGGATTGGGGTTTGTGACGTCGTTGTTGAGGTGCTTGCAAGATGCCATTTCCTCCGAGAACGATGCGTTCTCAGTTTCTAGCACTGGTGGATCGTCTGGCCTTTCCACTGGCAGCGTCGCGACTGATCTGGATCAACTCACACAGCATATTAAGGTGCACGTGCTGATTGAGGAGACAAAACCAGCTGCAGAGCCTGATAACGAAGACCACAGTACACAGGAAACAGACTCTTGCGAGGAACAGACGTCGGAGGAATCGTCTCTGGGCTGTATGAAGACAGCTGCAACGAAGCGGGATGGAAGGAACCACAAGGCAAGCAGCCGCACTGTGCACGACACCGTTGTGTTGGTGGAGCCTCTTGCTCGAATTGAGACGATGGAGGACTTTATTGCCGACAAGTTGTTTGGTCGCGGTGGCAGTACTGAGTCCATTCTTGACGAGTTGGCAGACACAGGAGCCGGCAGTGAAGAAGCCGGAGATATCGACGAGAGTGGAGAGTTCGCCAACGATGTCGTGAAGCTGCGACGAGTTGTCGCAGTCTACAGAGGACAGGTGCTCCCGCCGGACATGAGTATTCTGGAAGCGATCGTCAAGTTTGGGGGCGTCGAGACGACTGGAAAGACGCGTCCTGTGTCTACAACGTCGTCTCGGTCGCGTATTTGGACCGCGTCGCCTCATGACGTCACGTTCCGAGTGGCGGCCTCCTCCTCCTCCTCAGATTCTAGCGTCTCTGATGAAGCCGTCAACTCATTGTCCACTGCTGACGACTCCAAGATCGCTGCAACTTGTCAGTCTTCTGATTCCGTCGTGTCGGGCCGGTGGGACGATGTGTGGGACTTATTGCTGTTGTTGAAGTTGGTGCGATCGCAGTGCACGGGAAAGTCATTCGGAGTGTCTCTCAGTTTTGTGAACAGCTATCTGAGTCTCCAAGTGCGCCGAGCGCTGCAACAACCTGTTCGTGTGGTGACGAATTCCCTTCCGGAGTGGTGTTTCCGTCTCGTGAACGAGTTTGCGTTCGTTCTGGAGTTCGAGACGCGATGCCATTTCATGTACGCGACGACGTGTGGATGTTCCAGAGCGATTCAGTATTTGTGTCGATCAGTGTGGAGGAAAGCGGTGATGGAAGAGCCAACGCCGACGCAGCAGACACGACCGAGCACTTCTGGTCGTCGTCGGTTCCGTGACGGATCGAGTCGGACGCGGACGTCTGGCTTGGACAGTATTTCTCAGATGGTCAAGCTGCCTCGACTGAAGGTGCGAGTGGCGCGGTCGCGTCTCTTGCAGTCGGCGATGAAGCTCGTGGCGATCTACGGTGGGAAGAAGGCAGTGATTGAGATTGAGTTCCTTGGCGAGGTTGGGACGGGGTTGGGACCCACCACCGAGTTCTTTACGCTCGTGTGCCAGCAGGTACAGGCCAAGCGATTGCAGTTGTGGAGAGATGAAGATCGAACTTTTGTCAACGAGGAGCAGAAACGAGAGGCTGCTGACGATGAAGCAGAAACCAGCAAGACACAAGGCCCCAGTTCTCTGACGATCCGAGGCTACCATCGTGTTGCTGTCTATCACTGTGGCAAGTGCAAGGCTCTGCACATCCCGACGTGCTCAGTGCATCGACAACTCCTAACTTACGAGAAGAAAACGGACAAGACTGCAGCAAGAGGAGACGGAGACGTGAAGGAAGCTAAAGCCAAGACGTCTAGAAACTCCATTCCGCAGTGTGCCCAGTGCCTAGATGAACACGACTGGCACTCTACTGCTGTCGCGTGTGACTGCAAAGCCGCCAGCAGCATAGAAAGCGACAGTCAAGCTACGGGTTGTACACTCAAGTGGTGGATCTTGAGTGACGAAGAGGCTCAGTATCTAGCCAAGGTCTTCCCTCGACACAGTAAGAAGGTGAACCATCCAGTATTACAATGCGCACACTGCGATACAGTCAACTTTCCTGGCACAGATGCTGGCATTGTGGTGATGGATGGAGAGCGCATGGTCTCGCGCTCAGGTCGACGCATGTTTGAGAGAGATTATCGCGCTGTGACCAAGCACGTGTCACCGTTGTGCGAGGGGACACCGTTGAATGTCATGACGTCTGCCATTACACGCATGGATGTGGACCTGTTGGTGGAGCATCTGGCCCAGAGTCCAGAGGTGATGGAATCGGAAGTGGAGTCGTTGAGTTACTTGAGCGAGTCAGCTCTTACTAGCGTCAACGTGGGTGGTGGACCACCCGTCACGGCTCCCTTTGGTCTGTATCCCAAGCCATATCTCAGCGTTGACGGCCTGGACGAGTCCAAGTCGCCTGTTATCTCAGGGTCTAGTGACGTCTCGAGTCTGGAAGCTGACGCAGCGTCTCTGAGTGGAGACGAAGTGGACGCGCTGACTTGGTTCCGCTTCTTGGGACGCTTTGTTGGGCAGGCGATCTTGGACGAACGGCTGTTGAATTTGCCGTTTGCTCGTCCATTCTTACGTGCGCTGCGAGGCGAGAAGATGGTTGGCAGTGGCGTGAGCGCGGAGACATCGCTCTCGTTCATGGAGGAGCTGGATCCTGCGATCGCCAACTCGCTACGCTACTTGCACGATGTGGCGGTGCAGTACGAAGAGAAGAAAGAATCTGGTGAAGCTGACGCATCATCAGAGGTAGCTGCGTGGACAGCGAAAGTGGATTCTCTGTGTCTCTCGTTCACGTTGGTCGGCGCCGATGATATACCACTGGAATCTGGCGGCCAGGACACGCCCGTGACGCTGTCTTCACTACACCGATATGTGTCATTGAATCTGGAATTCCTACTGGACCGTTCGATCAAGACCCAGGTGCAGGCGTTCAGACAGGGCTTCGAGCAGATCTGCGGCAATGGGGAACGTCAGCTCTTCCGCTTCTTGCAAGCGTTTGACGTACGCGAGCTGGAGGCGCTTCTGAGCGATCGAGGCACAGGCAGCTCCATGTGGGATCGCGACGGCGTCGACTTGCGCGAACACATGGTGTGCGACCACGGCTACACGGCCGACAGTCGTGCGATCGCCGATCTGGTGTCGATTCTGTGCGAGCTGTCGGTGGACGAGCAGCGGCTTTTCGTGCGCTTTGTGACGGGCGCCAACCGCCTGCCGCTGGGCGGGTTACGTAACCTCGAACCCAAGCTCACGGTGGTGCGCAAGCTTACCGAGTCCTCCGATGCCAACAGCACCGAGGAGAACGATGCCGTGTTGCCGTCTGCCTCAACGTGCACCAACTACCTGAAGCTGCCGGACTATTCGACTCGTGAGATCATGAAGCAACGGCTGCTGTACTGCATCAACGAAGGCCAGTGCAGCTTCCATCTCTCGTAAGGTCACGACAACCAACAACCGACAGGACGAAAAGGGGAGGCAGATCGCTTAAGCCAAAAGATGATGGCGCTTTCGAGCGGCCCGGTGATGCGTTCAGCAGCGAAGCTGATCGTGTGCCAGCTGCTGGGTTAAATGAGGATCGATTCCTCTGTGCCACCATGATGTTATTGTTTATTTACACGATGTTGCCGGTATTAATACCTATAAGTTGCCTTTGTGAAAAAAAAACGAAGAGTTTTGACGAAATGACGGAAACAAAGACGTTGATAACGATAAATTAAGTAGTTGCATGTACGTTACGAGAAAGCTGTTGCCATGCTAGTCGTTCAGGAGTGTATTTCGCATGTAGGGACCCTATCACTTCGGATCACCCTGGCCAAGAATGCACTTATCCCGTCGACCTAATGTAAGTTTTCGTGTCTGTGCCTACGCTCGACTCGATAAATAAACAACCAACTGGGCCTCGCCTCGGACGCCTCGCCAGCTCTCGAGAGACATTGTAGCTCAGTCACTTGGGGGGCAGAAAGCAGTCGCGCGCTCTCTCTCTCTCTTCTTCTTCTTCTTCTTCTCTTCTCTTGGATTGACCAGACGACACCTTTGGGTCCAGTCCCTGAAGAAGAGAAACGTTCTCCACGTTTTGCGTCGTTCCAATGCTGCCTAGCAGCACTCCTGACTGCGACGCAGCTCGTCACGCGAGTACCACACGCGGCGCTTGTAGTCGGCGTCGAAGCTCGAGCGCGCGGGGATCTCGACCACGTTTACATCGTCGTCGAAGCTGATGCGGCGGTCGTGGCTGCACGCTCGGATGCGCATAATGCCATCGTCCTCCTCGCCATCCGAGTCATCGTCCGTGTCTGCCAGAGAGTCACACGTCGACGTACGCGCGCGTGCCTTCTTGCTGGGCTTTTCAACTTCCATGCTGACCTTACGAGGCCCGCCCTTCATGGCGATGGCCATCCAGTCGTCGTTGTCGTCGTCGTCCTCCTGTTCGGGGGCGCCACTGCCGTCCATGCGGAAGTACTCGCGGACGTTCACGACGCTCTTGGTGCGCTGCCTCATTGTTCTTTTTTTCTGAGAGTTTTTAAGCTGTTGAAAGGCTGAAGCGGAATCTGTTCGGCTTCCCTGTTGCTTTCGATACCGACTGACTGCTGTAGCTGTTGTACGGTGCTTTGAGGGCCTTTTTCGAGAGGAAGGAAGAGCACTGTGTTGCCACGAGTCTATTCGGTAAATGAATTCACAGCGGGGGGAGAGTTGCGGGCGACCAGCAATGACAGGGCACGCGACGACGATCGGACGACCAGTTCCGACCCCTATCCCGCTCAAAGTTCTATTTTTGTGCCATTTGACTGCGGTTTTGTAGGGGCTGATGCCGTCGCGTTGTGTCACAGCCGGCCACCAAAGTGCCGTCGAGCCCCACGATCATCGAGCTTTATGCCCGCCGCGTCGAGCGTAGGAAATCCATCGCGGTCGCAGTGCGGGGCTAAAGATGAAAGATTGCGTCGGAATCTATCCGCCGTGCTCGTTCGTCGGTGGGTGCCACCACCAGCGCATTGTCGTGGCGGAAGTGGCTTGATGAAAAAATAACGATTGCCAGCCGTTTCCGGGTTGACACGAAAGGATTCAGGGCCCTATCAATAACGGAAGTGGATATTGCCTCTTGGCGGTTCATGATGACAACTGCAATTGTAAACGCACGTTGCGGGCGGCGCTACACGTATTAGAGCGGTAGGCCACCTACGCTTTCCACGCCGTGTCTCTGCAAGGCACAAGTTCCCTCCTTCCTCGTCTGCGAGGGACCGCAGTGCTCCGTTCAATGAACGGCGTTCATCGACTTTGTAGAGGGCTCTTTCGCCCTCTTCGACGGCGTGGGACGTGCGTCAGCGAGAATCCCAGGCATTCGACAGCACTTGCCGCATTGTGGATTTTGAGGCTCAGTGTATCAGCAAAATACAGATAAGGAGTGCAAGCGTCGACCGCTGGGATCAACCCGGTCCGCACGCCAGAGTTGAAGCCCCTATCCGATACCATTGCACTCAACGAAGACGCCGCCGCCGAAAGATATTGGAGCACACAAAAGTCTCCGTTGGCGATGGTCCGACTGGCTGGACTGACTCCCTTCCGCGTTTCGTGCAGAGACCAGGCAACCGGATAGAGGGTTAGGCAACGAGTCAGACAGAATCGCTTCAACCTACAGCACGATTTGCACACAAAAAGTGTAGAAAACTCCAAAATCTTCCAAATCAGCGCCCATTCTGTGGTTTGATCGCTAACGAGCTCCGCTTGTCGTCGACGACGATGGACGGCGGCTATGATTCAACACCCTCACCTTGTGTGAGCGACTGCGACATTATCTGTACACTTTGTCGCCGCGATGCGCTCTAGAATCAGCCACGAAAAAAAACACACACGTCGCGCATCGACCAGCGCTACGCTAGCGGTCCGATGCGAACTCGTTACCACGTGCCGGTCCGGCGGGCGTCGTTGAGTCGGCTCGCCGCAACTTCCGATTGCTTTTGGCAACGACCCCATGATCGAGACGTCGCGGTAGTGCCCGTTTTGCCAAGGTAACTTGCTTACGCGCATTTTAAGTTGGCGTCGTAGTGCCACCATGAGCTTTGTCTGCAAAGAGAGATCCATGTTCCAAGCCGGAGCCATGCTCTCAGCTCATTGAGATACATGTACGGAGGATCTCACTGAGCGATGGAAACCAGCGAGATCCGGTCACTCTAGTCTCTTGACGCGTTAATTCCCCTAGCTTGCACATTTTGTCGCATTGACACTCTGGTCTCTGGTTTTCACGCTGGGAATCGTTTCAGAAGTCCGCTTTCTCAGCACCCGGTGCTCGTGAGTAATATACGTGTGCGCTGGCCACCACCCGCTGCATCGCAGAGCCCTGGAACGCCCAACGCGTGTGCCTTAAGAGAGTGCGATTTCTTTCGCATCGAGTGGTGATGGGGCAGATGGCTCTCGCTGGACAATTATTAGCCCTTTTTAAATACGCAGCGCTACAGCATGACAGCGGCTGACGGTGTCAGTGATACCTCCCTGCTTACAGCCCCAATGTAATGGCGCCAAGGTGTCGATCGCCACGAAAGCGACCGACAGCAGGAAAAGTCAATCGTGGTGAGCGGCGACTCGGATGACATCCGGTGAAAAACATGACGACGATTTTTGCGTCCTCTCGATGCCACCACCATGTAGAAGTGGTCGCTCCAATCGCGGCGAGGCATCCGTCCTCCGAATGAGAGTACGCCAGGTCTACAACCCTCCGAGACTCCACGCGACTATGATGGCGATCCGGATAGTGACAGCGAACTTGTGCTTGGTTACCAAGTTGGTACTTCGAAGTACATGTAGTACATGTATGCACGGCGGCCACCTCCGGGTTGGAGAAAACCAATGCGTGCACAAGTACTGTAAATATTAATCATGCTGTATTTAGCGTGCCATGCTAGACTACTGAGCTGTAATACTGTGAAACTTTCTACCGGTATAGGAAGACGCAAGCTCGAGAGCTTCGACTCGAAGACTTCGAGCGTTGAATTCAGCAGGGCAACAACTCGCGTCTTTCGGTCAGAGATGGGGCAGCTCTCGTCGGAGTGATTGCTTGTCTGCTTGATGCCATTTTTGGCTATGGCACTTGCGCCGTTTAGTGATCGAAGATGAGCATATTGTATGATATGGCGGCCAATAAATAGGCTGGAGTGCTTAAAGTGCCGCAGCGCGCTCTACCATCTCAACCAGCTCGGGCCGGTGCTGCAACAACTCCCGTGCCTCGTCAAGAGAAACCTGGTGGATAGTAGTAACAGCCATATTAAAACTAAAGGCAAATACATATCAATTTGCCAGACTGACAAACCCATTTGCGCCGACGAGTGTTCTCAGCCCAGTCCTCGAAGACCTGCCTGACCTCGAGTCTGAAGCCGTAGAAACGACACGGTTTGCCCTGTTGACTAGCGAAGTCCAGTGTGCCTAGTGCGCCCACGACCTCACCCGAAATCTGTGCCAAAAAGTATCGACAGTCATTATTTTAGATCAGCACAACCAAAGCTTTTAGCCGCCGCACCCCCGCTTCCTCATCGGCTTCACGCAGTGCGCTCTCCACAACAGTCTCGTCAGTCTCCCAGCCGCCCTTGGGTAGGATCCACTGCGTCGGGTGCTTGGAGCTCGAGATGAGCAGGAACTCGTCGCTGGTGTCGACGTGACGACGCGAGATCACAATGCACGCCAGCAACCGCGTGTGTCCGTCGTAGCGCTGCTTGTCACGGCCCACGCGGGACTGCAGCAGGCGACTCGAGAGACGCGTGAGGCTATCGTCTGGTAGGTCCTTGTGCATGCTCGTGGGGCTGTGCTTGTTGGGGGGCGACACCACGGACTGCACCACAGTAGCGTCTGAGGGGCGGTCGCTGTTCACAGTCATATCGCGTGCGTCCAGCAGAATGACTGCGATCAATTTGAGATACCGGTATTGTAAAAAATTAATCGTGCTTGACAACCATTTTTTTATAAAAAGATAGAGGCACCAAACAGCCGGTAAATTACACAGAACCAATGTAACGGGGTACAATCCAGTGTGCCCCATGTTACATAAAGAGTGACCCGTCACTCTTGTGGACACCTGGTAAACGGTACCAGGTGCTCTCGGAACCAGTCAGTGCATGACTACTTAGCTTCACTATAGGTAACCTCTAGTTTGTATGAGACTCAAGCTTATATTACTTATAAATACACCAGTCTTAAATCTACTCCTCTAAGTAGCAAACCGTTCCCACTGAGGCCGGGAACACGTGGACTTACGTTCACTCGGGTAGTTAATACCCTTAAGCACTTCCTCTGTGCAAGGTGCTGTGTGACCCCGTCACACTTGGTAGCACTCGTAGTCAATCCAACACCATCGCGGGTAGATTGAACTACCTGAATCCTCTGTGCGCTCAACGTTTGAGCCAAGATGGACCGAAGCGAGTTTCCTCGCTTGAACGACTCACAGTACGAGTCTGTTCGGAAGATGGGAGGCATCTTTGGACAAGATGTCCTTCGCAGCTTGGCGGTGGCGACGCCTGCCGAGCAACAAGAGCGCGTGACCGCGTTTGAGACCTACGAGCGTGGTCTCATCGCTCACGTCCGCGGGAGCTTGGAGGCCACGATGGCCGCTCCGCAGGCAACCAGGCCTAAGCCGGTGTGGCTGAAGGTCCCCGCGTTTGAGGGGAAGGAAGGAGAGAACCTTCACTTCTGGGTCCGTGATGTGGAGATCGCCATGAAGGCGGGTCTCATCTCGGACGAGCCAGTTCGAGTGGCGTTTGCCCTGTCCAACCTTGGTGGACGTGCCAAGCACTGGGCATACACCAGGGAGACGACATCTCCTGGATGCTTTGCATCCTGGGCTCAGCTGTGTGAGCAGCTTCGAGCCGCGTTCTTACCGGCGAACAACAAGTTCCGCCAGCGCTCACGCTTTCTCGCGTGTAAGCAAGGTAAACGTGAGCTGCAGGAGTACGCGCAAGAGATGCGCACGTTGGTGGCATCTCTGGCAGGGAATCCTCTGCCTGAAGCCGTTAAGACATCAGTCTTCATGGACGGCCTGAAGGTCGGTCCTGCTCGCACTCAGCTATTCCGGGTGCAAGCGACAACTATGGAGGAGGCGATTCGAATCGCCCTCCAAGAAGAGTACAGCCACAAGCAGGCTGGTACTCTTCGGGAAGAGGAACATCGCCACGATGAGAATGGCGTTCCTCGGAAGGCGGAGCATCGCAGCAATGACGCTGTTGCTCCTGCTGTCCCGCAGCCAGTTGATACCGGTGCGTACAGCGAGCCCAAACCCATGGACTTAAGCTCAGCCGAGAGCTTGGTCCGCTGCTATGGATGCGGCGGACATGGACACTACCAGCGTGTGTGTCCCTCGCTAGTCCTCGGGAAGAAGGCAGCCCGTGGACTCGAAGTCCGGTGGCGCAGGCCACGGTCAGGTGGACGAAGACTCCCCGGCCACCATTAGAGGCGGTATGCCCTACTGAAGAGCGCTAAGCCTTCGTGATGGGTGTGCAGGTTGTGCACACCACGGGACTTAGCCCAGAGAGACGTGGTTCTCTCAAACCGGTGAAGGGCAGTGATGGGCTGCTGGTAGTACACTCGGTGTACGGGGGTACGGTACCCCTTGAACGTTTGATGAGTTCTAGGGCGTTGATACGCCGCCGGAACGTCGCTTGGCATAGCGACATCCGACTGCACTCTATGCCAGAGTGGCGGTCGTGGGCTGGTCCTTGGTGGACTAGCCTTTGGTACGGTGAAGGAAGTACCTATGGTCCTCAACGGACCTGAACGTTATGGCTCGATGAACTCGCGCACCGCGGTGTCGCTCGCAGTTCTCGCCATGAACAACTTGGCTGTGCCGAACATAAGGCACAGCCCGGACTTTGGTGTGGCAAGGCTGAGAAAGGCCTACCAGTCCAGGTCTATGACGGAGCATTGGTGAGTCATGTTCCCACCTCCGTCATGACTGGGGCGTCTGATACAGACCGCCAGGACGCAGAAGCGTCACGGAGCTGTCAACGCGCCGACAGCTCTGCGTACAGCAAGACCATGCTACGCTGCGGCAATACCACGGGCATGGGTCTTTTGCCCGGCGTGTGGACCTGCTACACCAGCAGCGTCCAACGCCGAAGGTCGTCGCGCCGTACGGGCTTCGACAGTGGTTATGCCGTTAAGCGCTAACCAGGTGGGTAATTTAGGACCACACGGTCGCCCAGACCTTAACTGAAGAGGAAGGCGCTGAATGCGCTTCCTGTGTGGATAACACAGTACCACACGCAGTCGCCCAGACTATAACTGAAGAGGAAGGCATGACCATGCTTCCTGTTTATGGTAACACAGTACCACACGCAGTCGCCCAGACTATAACTGAAGAGGAAGGCATTGTCCATGCTTTCTGTGTGGGTAACACAGTGCCACACGAGGTCTCGAGTGCCTCTGATGTCGTCAACGAGACATCACGACGTGGGTAACGAAGTGCCACGTCACGTCAGCCGCCGCAAGTCGGGTTTGAACCTTGTTCAGGCCGACGTCGCTTCAAGCGACTCGGAGTCCAGGGCCCGGACTCCTCTGACTCAGTCGGTGGACACCAACTCTGTCCGGTGTGTGTGCGGGTCTGCCACACCAGCCGATCCCAACACCGAAGGTCGTCGCGCCGTATGCGCTACGACAGTGGTGGTGCCGAAGGGCATTCACCAAGTGGGTAACATAGGTCCACACTGCGGGTAACAAGTTCCGCAAGCAGCGAAGCTGCTTAAGAGACCGACATTCGGTACTCCGAGCGTGGGTAACAAAGTTCCACGCAAGGTCACTCAGACCATAACTGATAAGGAAGTCGCTGTATGCGCTTCTGGTGTGGGTAACAGAGTTCCACACAACCAAGGTGGGTAACAGAGTTCCACACCCAAGGCGAGTAACATAGCGCCGCACACAGAGCCATTGGCTCGAGGCGCGAGGTTGTCTTGGCCTCGCCAAACGTGAGCAACTCGCTCGACGTCAAGTCGCGCAGACTCAAACTGCTGACGCGAAGGCTGAATGCCTTCAGTCGACACGGCCGACGCGGTCGACCATACCGACGCAGTGCACATGGCGGAGAGCCGTTGCACCTGCCAATGGCTATTAGAAGCCACGAGAGACTCAGTAGTCTCGAGGTTAAGTAGGGGAGAGGCTCGGAAATACCTTTCCTCCCTGACTTTCCAAGAGGCATGTAGCCGTCGTGCTGCCAGTGGCTATCACAAGCCACGAGAGACTCAATAGTCTCGAGTGTAAGTGGGGGAGAGGCTCGGAAATACCTTTCCTCCCTGGTCTTGAGGTAAGACCAAGTTCCTTACGGAACCAGGCGTCGATGTACATCGACTGCAGGCTGGAGGCGAACAGCCGGGTTAGAGCTGCGATAGCTCTAGCCGAACAAGACATAGTGGCGAAGAAAGCCACTGGCGCAAGGTGCCTCGGAATCGCTGAGCGAATCAGCAGTGTTGGGGTTGCAAGCAACCACACACGAGGCGAAGCGCGGGCCTAGTGCAATCAACGCACTGGTCTCTTGGTCATGAACGACCTGTCGAGTAGGGTGAACGGAACGTCTCACCCGCCGACAAAGCGGTTGCGGTACGTGATGTACGCAACGCGCCGGGTATAATGGGCCGTGGAGCCATTACCCAAGTGTGGTGCACGAGTGCACACACAACTGACTAGGTGGTGGTCGAGGCAACGCACGCAGTCGTAACTGGTGCCGCGCCGAGCATGACACCGTGGTGATGGCTGCTTGCCTCACCATGGGTTGGTACTCGTGAGTACTCGGTGTCAATGCCAGACACCAATGCCGCAGTGGCATAGTGGTGAGATGTGCTCCACCACGGTCGAGTACCATCAAGGTACATGGTGTCTGTGACAGACACTGGTATAGGTGCAAAGGATATGCACTATATCACGACCCGATGCGCTCTGTCAACGCACGTACCGTGCATCGGCACTGGCTGCTGTTGAGCGGCCTGCCAGGAGTTTCACGTAATGAACTCGTCGTGCATGACACACATGACGCGCACGGAGCACTTATGGTAGCTGTGGTACTTGTCGTACACAGCGTACCTCGTGTACGGGCCCATGGACCTGTACACTGTGCTTGCACATGCGTCGTGCATGATGCGAGCACTGGCCATGAATCTGTTCAGGCGACAGCACAGCAGAAGCTGTTGCCGCCAAACATGGCAACCTTGTGGTGGGCGTACCGCACCAAAGGTTAGTACCGTACGGTACATGGTGTCGATGGGAGACACCTACACCACGGTTGTGTACTGTCACGGTACACGGTGTCGATGAAGGACACCTAGCGCCGTTGGTATGGTGACCAAGACGCGAAGAGAGCGTGGTAAAAGCTCCGCCCGCAAGGATGGATCCTTGCTGGAGCCAAAGGCATGGCCCGAGGTGAGCTGAGAGCTCCCTCTAGTGCTGGGGAAGGTGTTGCCCTTCTCGGTGTTGTCCCTCGCGGGAGACACCATGCTCCGGACGCGTTCACGAGGACTGTCGTGTCCTCTGGTGCGAACTGTGGGCGAATGCCACACGTTCGGATGCTATTGCACCCTGTGCCAGAGCACTGTACGCGCGCTAGCGCAGGAGCTAAGGCAGCTCTGAGTGTAGGCTTTGCGGCCAACACAGTTGTGAGCATAGGGATGCAAATCCCAGTGAGCTTTGGCAGCACAAGTCACTGTGGGTGTGACTGAGAGCCGCGCCAGTCTCGTGGCTGCTCAGTGTGAGAATTCACCTTTTGGTGCTTTAATTCTCTCACTTATGATTGGAGAATCAGTTGTGATTGGAGAATCAGGTGATTCTCAGTTAAGTGCGGGAGGATGTAACGGGGTACAATCCAGTGTGCCCCATGTTACATAAAGAGTGACCCGTCACTCT